AATAGAATAGAATAGAATAGAATAGAATAGAATAGAATAGAATAGAATAGAATAGAATAGAATAGATTCGGCTCCTTTTACGGTACTATCTCTTTCCTCATCCAGTACCGAGGATGTGAAATGACATGCGTGAACCACAAACAGTGCTTGGTCGGCTTGAATGAGGTGTCATTGGTTAGTCGACGTCGGTTCAGGAGACTATGAGGCCGTTCAACGGAGCAATCTCACCCACAGCTCCAGCTCAATTGGCCACTGCGTCGTAAACAGCCGCCGGTAATCATCCCCATAACAAGGACTTGATCACCTCAAATTGAAGTTGTGACTTTTGATTAGCTAATCTCTTCAAAAATAAGTGGGCCTCAGCAAGTACACATCTATATGCCAGGTATTTACATATGGAGGTTAAAAAAGGACATGAACAGATGGCAGATTCTTTAAACACTATGAAAACTAACATGTTGTGGCCTTTATTTTGGTCGCAGTCTCCTTTCGATGTATAGAAGTGGTCTGACCTCGTTTTGGCAACTTGGTCGTGTTGTTAGGGTGACTTAGTTTGACGCACCTTTTCTGAAGTCCTGTGCTATAGCAGTTATCATAAGACCCAGCGTCGGACCGTAAGACGAGTGAGGTAAGTCGTGTCTCTTTGACGAGCTATATCTTGATGCTGATAAAGGCAAGAATCACTGACGATGCCGACTACGATGCTGGAGAATCGTGTGGAAATGTACCAAGTCCACGGTTCGACGCTGGGACTTATGAAAACTACTATAGCAGAGCAATAAGGGCAAGGTGTGTCTAACTAAATCAACCTGACAGCACAACCAAGTTGCGAAAACGAGGTTTAATTTCAACGAATCATTTGTCCTAGTCGTTGATCTAAATTGAAGCGAAGTGGAAAGCAGCGATGTGAGCGAAAAAAGGTAGCAGGAACGTGGAGCTTCTGGCAAAAGCTAACCGCATCGCCATCGCCCTTGCCTTCGCTTTTGCATTTGCTTTCGCCTTTGCCCTCGACTTTGCCGCTGCATTTGCCCTCACCTTCATTCTTGTCATCGCCTTCGCCTTTGCTTTTGCTTTCGCCCTCGCCCTCGCCCTCGACTCTACTTCTTCTTTTGCCCTTGCCTTCGTCCTTGCCATCGCCTTCGACCTTGTCTACGCTTTTGAATTTGCCCTCGCCTTCGCCCTCGTCGTCGCCCTCGACTTTGCCCCTGCTTTTGTCCTCGCCTTCATTCTTGCCATCGCCTTCGTACTCGCCTTCGCCTTCGCCCTCGCCCTCAACTTTGCCCCTGCTTTTGCTCTCGCCTTCGCCCTTGTCATCGCCTTAGAACTTTCCTTCGATTTTGCATTTGCTTTCGCCTTCGCCCTCGCCTTTGCTTTCGCCTTCATTCTTGCCAACGCCTTCGTCCTCGTCTTCGCCCTTGCATTCGCTTTTGCATTCGCCCTTGCCTTCGCCCTCGCCTTCTCCCTTGCCATTCATTGCCTTCGCCCTCAGCCTTGCATCATTCGAGTCGCACAGAGCAAGATTTGTCAGCATGCTTGCCTCTCTGGAGCCGGCCGTGCAGCTCAACCAGACACGATTCTGCATCTTGGGTCGTCATCCGCAGCTCTGGCTGGTGACCACCCTTTCGCCAGGACATTTGGCCTCAGATACGTTAATTCGGTGGCCTAATAATGCGCCCCGCCTGGGATTAGGCCGATACGACCTCTAGCCCTCCCTTTATTCCCGCCAGCCTTGACGAGGGACATGCGTACAATAGCACTTGGGATGCACACACAGTCATGTACAGGGGTTCACGTACCCAAGGCACACTATCAACCATCCGATAATGAGCTAGTTAGCACAACGGAGAATTGGGTGTGATACTGACAGACATGCGAATTTTCGGCCGTTGAAGCCAGCATTCTAACATT